TGTGTGTGTGTGTGTGTGTGTGTGTGTGTGTGTGTGTGTGTGAAGTGTGTGTGTGTGTGTGTAAGTGTAGGCATGTACATTAATTGGTTGCCAAGTTTGTGTGAGTAGGCTGGTGTGTATATCTGGTAGGCAACCATAGTGAATAGGTTGGATACTACATACTACATGCCCAAAATACATGTATTCAGACAAATGTTGAAACTTGTTCTAAAACAAATCAGATCGAATATATACAGTCATGAGGGAATTGCTCTAAAAGGGCAGAACTGATATGACAATAGAAGAAATATCATGATACATAAATTGATAGTAGTAGATTAGTGGACCGGCGTCTGTGGTGTAGCAGTTATGCTCTTCGCTGTCGCACGCAGGAGACTCGAGTTCCATTCCCGAAAGGAACGAACATTTCTATCGCACTGGTTGACCCTAACACGCAAGGTTGGATACCCGCCTCCTAAATGATCTAAATTTGGTTGATTGTGGCATAAAAACACCTACATTTACAATTTATTTACATTTACTTAGTTAAGTTTTAGTGGTAAGGCTGCTGGATATGCAGCTAGGGTTGCTAGATCTAATCCCGAGCTACCGTGCCCGACGTTGTGCACATGAAAAGAACACCCCAGGAATCGTAGAAGTGTTACGTCAACATCAACATGGTTTAGATCATTTAGGAGGCGGGCTGATTAGATCCTGCCTGCCTGCCAGGTCCAACCCGGGTTGAGATTAATACAACGTCCCGGTAAAAAGACGGCGATGCTCGATGAAAAATTACCCCCATACGAGAAACGAACTCACATCTTCTGCATGCTACGGCACACAAAGGGCCTAACTGCGACACCACAGATGTCGATGATGGGTCCTTGAGAAAGACAATTTCCACAAAAGGGTTTTCACTTCACCATGACGGGATGGGCACCCGGCCAATACTGTGAGAGATCTTTCCACCTTATTATTAGTATTTTAGTTTAGTTTTTGTTAGTAAGAGTTTTACGGCACTTGCAACACAAATAGATCGTATATGTGCCGAAGGTTGGGTGTTACAAGAAAGTAACATACACAAAGAAGGAGGAGAGATAAGGACGGTTGATGTTTGATAGGAAGGATAAGGAGCAAACATCACCAGAGCACATGTCAACCACCCTCATTTATAGTGTTGGTGCAAACTTGCAGCTTTCTGTGAAAGCTTCCCGGGAAGCTGAGATCTAGAGTGTTATGGTCTGGCACAGTGGTCATAAATTGTAAAGCACAAACAGGCTACTTCTGAACAGGGACATCGACTTACTAAATGGATTCTATTATTGTTTTCATCATCATCATCATCATCATCATCATCATCATCATCATCATCATCATCATCTAGCAAAATTCCAGTTCTGTGAACATAACAATGTTGTATTATTATTAGCTTTGAAGAAGTTACAAACTTTATAAGAAACATTTTCCTATTTGTTGTATACATATAAAGAATAATTTCTTCTTCTCTCTGTCTGTCTTTCTGAACCACTCTCCCAACAAGCTCTCGTGGCCTAGAGGTAGGTGTTCGTCTCTCATTCAATAGGTCCCGGGTTCGAATCCGGAGAGCGGCGACGGAAAATTATCTTATCTAAAATGTTCTCCTTTTACATCCTTTCACCTCCTTTCTCTGGACTCCTGGCTCTTTCATCATCTTCCAGTGCCAGATCTGCGACAGACATCGGCGATCATGGTTTATTAAGCATTTTTACGGCTTCTCCTCGGCTCATCTTACTGGTGTCTTTCAGCCACACCCCTGATCTTCAGGTAGAAAAGATCTACACCAAGCCTTCTCGGACAGGGGCAAAAAATCTCGGAGGTCTTGTGTGCAAGTGCTCACGTTAAAGATCCCTTGGTGGTCCAAAATCGATAAGAGTAGGCTTCGGCCGCCATTCGGGGCAAAATTCAAAATTTCCTACCAACTGAAACTGTTTAATGTGTCCCGCGCGCTCATATGACCTTTTTGGGGTTGCCAGGCGCTGAAAAACACTAACTTAAACAAACAACCAGCCTCTGCGTCTCTATCTTCTTTCTTCTCCCCTGTTTCATTCTTCACTCCCAATACAAAAAGAAAACCAAAGATACAGTCAATTGCCGTCAGGTGAACGGGATATTAGCCCGACGCACCAATTGAAAAATCCACGGTGACCCATGTTAAGGCCCACAACCGGTAAAATGGTTGCTCTAAAATGAACTGACGTGACCCATAGGTGGGTTTATGACATACATGTATTATGGCGAGTAAGAGTGTCCAACGCCAACATTCATAACCATTCAAAGTGACATCGTGAGTCTCAAGGTCTACGCATATCCAGTTGCCCCTCCCCTTTACCTGTCCAAAATGTATAGCTTTTCTTCTCTGACATAGTTCCCTTGCCTTTGTCGTCACGCACCGTGGCGTAACGTTGTGACCACACCAATTAAAATCCAGTCTGTCTTGCAATTTCCGGAATAGAGACAACCCACTGCTGCAATGGTCAGGGAAGAGTTTACAGTTCAATGTGATCCCGCCCTGAGCGCACTTGTAGGCCCTACCCACTCAGCGAGTGATGCAAGTTTAGGTAGAGAGCTCAGATGCGAGGGTGATGATCGGGGGAAACAAACGCGTCTGTCAGTTCACACCTCGGTGTTATCCTGTCGGGGGGCAAACATTGTACCGTTTGATCGAGTTTTACTAAAACACTTGTGATCTCATTCATGAGCGTGGTTGATCTTTGTCGCGACGAGTAGTTCATTGATCTCAATTTTTCATTCTTTTTTGATTGGCAGTGCCCGTCCAGGTTTTTGTTCCGTACATTATTATCTTATGTGTCCTTATTGTGTTGCAAATGCCGTAAACACTTACTAAAACAAACAGTACATTATTTTCTGAAATGCGGGACCTTTAGCCGAATGCAGACCTTCAGATTCAGAGAGAATCAGAGCGGGATCTAAAGGGGAACATTATTTGTAATTCTGTTTTCTTAAAACAGCGGATCGTGAGCGGTGGGCTCTGGGTCTGGCACAGTAGTTATAAACTGTAAAGCACATAAAGCCTCTTAGGCAGGGTTACCGACTTTATAAATGGAACCCATTATCATCATCATCATCCTCCTCCTTCTTTTTCTTCTGCTTCTTCTTCTTTTTCTTGTTCTTGTTCTTGTTCTTGTTCTTGTTCTTCTTCTTCTCATCATCATCGTCTAGCCAAATTCCAGTTCTATGAACTGAACAATGTCTAATTAGCTTTGAAAAAGTTGCAAACTTTATTAAAAAAACATTTTCCTCTTTGTTCTATTACATAAAATTATTTCCCCTTTTCTCGGCCTGTCGTTTTGATACACTCTTTTAACCAGCCTCTATGTCTCTATCTTTTTTCTTCTCTCCTGTTTCAGTTTTCTCCCCCAATATAAAAAGAAAACCAAAGATACACAACCAACAGGGAATCAAGTCCTGGTCTCCCATGTGACAGGCAGGTACACTTTAAATAATAATATTCTATATGAGGCAAACTTTTTCTGTGCCAGAATTGGTCTAATTGACAATAGAAGAAGTCACAAGTCATCTCAACCTTTAATTGTTCTAATTCTTCTAGATGATTTGAGAAATGTTCCCCTCTGCGGATGCATTGGCCATCGTCAGACATTGATAGACAGATTATTATCATTATTATTATTATTGTTATTATTATTTGCTAATATTATTGTTTTCATTATTTTTATTATCATCATCATCATCATTATCATCGTCATCATCATCATTATTATTATTAATAGTAATATTATTATCTTTATCAAAGACTGAAAAGAAGTAGATCTTAGCAGGTTATTCATTAATGCAGTCACTGTCACTAAAAGGCAGGAGAAAAGATAGGCGATAGGAAGATTAAAGAGACAGACATGAACAAGAGATGGACAGACAATATTTAGAGAAATAGAACCTAATGGGCATAGCAAAGATTTCTTCTATCTATCTACAAACGTATTGCTATTTCAAAACTCAAAAGAATGTAGTTCCAAGATATATGCTTACAAAATGTTTTGTTGATATCAAACGGAAGTTCTAAAAGTCGTTGTTGAGTGGTCATTTACATGAGCCTGTGCAAATGCAGACTACATTTTGGAGAGAACAAAATAGAGGAAAACAGAAACAATGTAAGTGCAATTGAGATTAGGCAAAAGGGCAAGAGCACTTGGTAACCATGCCCAGGTGAAAAAGGAAAAGTAAATGAAAAATCCAAGGAAACAAATAAAACTATAAGGCTAAATGTCCAGTGAATGGAGATAGTTTATTTTTACTCATTTTCAAGTCACGTATGTAACTGTACAAGTCTCTCTATGACAAAATTCATAACAAAGCTTCAAACATATTCAAGTTATAAAAAGTCAAAATGCTACAATTGTGAGTTTTAGACTGTGATTGTGTAAATATTTAAAGAAAAACACAAAACCAAACAATCAAAAGTCTATAATCAGTAAAATGACCTTTCATGACAGCTCCACTTGAGAAACAACTCAGAGGTTCTGCACAATGTTTCTTTAATGTCAGAATAAGAAAATAAAGAACAGCTTTTCCATTAGCTATGATGGATCAAAACATACCGTAAAACCTTAAAGAATCAAAATATGGAACGATGACACAATAGTTTTAAAAATTAGTTGTTTTCATGTTTATTACTATTAAAATTGCCATTCACAAATTATAGTTTTTAAATATATACACTGAATTGCAGGGTACTCTAAAAAAAACCCAACCTGTTAACCACGAGAGCTTAAAAGTAAAAAGCAAATTTATTCCTAAGAAAAGAAGTACATTTCATGGAACCACCGAAAAAGTTACACATGAGTTTAGAAGAAAAAATTAAAATCTTCATCAAGCAGTCTAACCCTTGGTACATTGTTTGCAACAGAAAGGTGAATAATATTGTTATTTTGTGTTGAAGATACATTCTAATGTAATCAATGTAATGGATATATCACAGTCATTTTTTTTTGGACATAAAACTTGACAATACAACATGAGGAATAAAACATACACACTTCATGCAACCCACTAATCATAATTAATACTGTCAACAGGAGAACTTTTCTTTTGTAGAGGGATGGTTTTGTCTTTACAATTACTACATTTGAATGTTCAGAAACCACAATGGAATACAAAGCTAAGCAGAGTGTCTACTTTCTTTTTGCTCTTGAGAGACAGAACAATGAAGCTGTCAGTGTTGTGAGCATTTTCATTTTTAGAACAAAGCCTCACAGATATTAATCTTGTATTATTCACCGACAATCTACAATGTCTTTTCTTTCAACACCCTTCATGTCATCTTCCCACCCCTAATGACCACACTCATTCAGATACATTTTCTAAAAATTACAAACAATTAATTTTAATTTCCTTTCCACACTCAAACGTAATCTTTTAAGTGATCCACGTAGGGGTCGGCTCTACGCCTCTTAGTGCGAAGAAAGTCTCCAGTTTAGAATCAAAATCTCTTGGCCTCTCATTGGGATCTCTGTACCGGACTGTCATGTTGTTGCCCAAGTATTTGATGAGCTCACATGTCTCCTCAAACTGCTGCAGTTTCTGCTTGTATTTCTTGCGAATGTATGGGGAAGACTTGGGGTTGTAGGCTGCCACGAAGAAAAACAATATTTAATATGAAACGAAACATTGAAATCGAGCAATCTTTGAAGCAAAGAAAAAAACCCCAATAGTCTTATCAAGTAGCATAAACACAAAGAAAAATAATATTTGACATGAAAAAACGGCAAAATCAAAGTTTTGGATGCAAAGAAAAGCAAGTAATGTGGACGACCCAGATTCGAGTCACCAAAAGGGGATTATTCAAATTGAGTGTTTTGTGGATTTCTTAGGGTTCTCCACAGACTTGACAATGAGATGTAAAATTCAGCGAATCCGACAGCACAGAAGAGAGCATTAAACCCATAGCATACCATACCACACATAATAATGGCAAACATTAGGTCCAAATCATAACGAAGTAATAGTTTGGGAAGAGGTAAACGTTTGTTCAAGCAATTACTGTTTGATAAGAGATGACAGGCTAATTAAATTTCCTTTTCAAGCCGATCACACCATACAGATGTGAATAATTGTAAAAAGTTAATCGCTGTCTAAGTTTTCTTAATGGCAGCGGTAGTCTTGTGGTAAGGCCACTGGACTCACAACCTCAAGATTGTTGGTTTGAATCCTTAGCTGGGCTCAACGTTGTATCCCTGGGAAAGGCACTTGTCACAAATTTTTCCACAGCTAACAGGCGAAAATGGGTAACAGGTTAAAAACAATGCTTTACAGGAGGCTGTGGATGTTTTGGAATGTTAAGGGGTCAGTCGGGGTAGTAATAAATTTTAAAACGTATAAAGCCTACTTTCTACTTGGAATACATGTTATATTGACTAACATTGTTATTTATTATTACGACTCACCTTTCAAGTGGTAAGCAATGTAAATAAGTGCAGATCGTGTCGATGAGACAAATGGATACTTTGGTTTAACATTGCCAGCAGCAGTGAGTGCCTTCACCATGGCAACTGCACATGTCTGCTCCATGAAGCCCAGCATTGGCAGGTTCACCAGAGGAAGCTCTTCTTGTTTTGGGGGCAGTTTATGTGGCAACTTCAAGTGAGCGTACTTTTCTGGCGTTCTGGAGACAAAAACATTTGATAAATCATGAAATATCTGAAAATCAGAGTTGGGGTGAGCGGATGGATGGGTTCGTTACTCACAAAGTCAGAGTGAGCGGGTAACGGATGGCCATGTGAGTAGACTGTGAACCTCAAGTCAGTTTGTTTCTTGGGTCTGCTCCATAATTTTATTCACTGAGCGGGCGGGCGAACTGACGAACTCTAGCAGACAAGATACTCAACGATAGGTTAGGCCTATCAACTATTATTTGTTGATTAAGCCTACTATTGGTGCCACAGGGAGTGGGAGAGGCTGGAGACGTAGTACTATGTGTGCAACCTTTCACCTCGTGAGTGGGTCACACTGTATACCTTTTAATTTATCGCGAAGGCGAAGTTTAAAGAATTCCGAAAGAGCTTTTTAGAGTGTTTGGGGTGGGTGGAGAGAAATTTCCACTATGAACGCCTAGCTACAATATGGGGGATGAGGGAGATTTTTTTTGGGGGGGGGGAGTGTAAATAGTATTATGCAATGGAAGGAGTCTCTCCGTCTGCTCGCTCGCTCACTAAAAGAACTGTTGTCTCTGTGTCCAATGTGTAGCGAGTAGCGAACAAATCTTCACAAGCCAACAGCTTGTTACCCGTCTGCTCATTTGCGAGTAGTACTAGCGAACCGTTTGTTACTCACAGATGCAGATTTTGAAAGCCTGACCCTACTCTACTGAGAATATCTCATTGAAATCTGTAACGAAAATGGCAGGACTGAATTATGTTCAGGCATGAGAAAAAAAAACTTTCTGAAAAGGACACATCCTAAATTTCCATTACATGCCACACTAAGGCTCTAGTAGTTTTCTTTTGGAAAATATACCTACTATGGTTGGTATGTTTTGAAAACAAACTTTCTCTGTTTTGTGATTCAGAATAGTGCCTCACTTCATATGTAACTTTACACAAAATGAACTTGATTGAAAACAATTATTTTTGCTTCACTTAAAACGCTTTTTTATCTGGTCAGATTCCCACCTACAGTTCAAACTTAAAATATTCTGAGAAAACCAAATACACCTGTAACTCAGGAAACAAGATACTCACAATCTGACTTAATAAAAATTGCACTGAATATAAAAAGTGATTGTGATTTGTTCAGAAAAGGCCCTAGATAAAGAGAATATGAGCAAAAGTGTTTCTGCGCTAACAAGAACACAAGCATGACTTACTTCATGAAGCGGAAGAGTTTCTCCTCATCCTTCATCAGGTACACGTTCTCCTTGTACTCTGCAAGGAACTCCTCGCTGCCTGGCAGTAGGGACTCGTACCTGGCAAAAATGGGAGATACACAGTTGAAACTAAAATGCACAGTGGATTTTTTTTTCAGCTTTTGATTCAAAGAATATCCACTTGCTTTCCTTCATTCTTATTATATTATTGATTGGATTATGAATAATCAATTTGAATCTTGTACATGTACTTTGTTTAAAAAAGAGACATAGATCATAGTTCTGTGTCCTTCAAAGGGAAGGCAGGCCCTGTTCGCTCAACTGGTATCATTTTGGGCTATGGTGCAGATGGCCCTGGTTTGAATACTCAGCAGGGCGTTCTTTAAGTTTTATTGCAATTGTTTGGGGTATTTTCAAAGCCCTCTGCCCACTTGACTAGGTGCTATAGAAGATGAAGATTAAATTTGGGGATCCTTCCAGTTAGTCCTGATAATGATGAACTAACTGGCCAAGCTGAGATTGGCAGCACCATGTAATTAGATAAACAACAGGCTGGAGTCTCAAAAGGGTCAGGGAGGGACGGTAATCTGTGTGGAAAAGCTAGAAGAATATCCAACCAGCAGATAACTGGCATAATCAGCAAGCCAATCCTTTCATGGATCTCGGGGAGGAGGGAAGAGCAGCTATGGCACTATACCAACAGCGATAATACCTATTCCCAAACCAAGTAACCAAGTAAATAACCACACATTGTTGAAATGGACGTTCAATCCATTCCATTCATTAAAGAGAAGGCTCACTAAATTCATAATAACTGTACAACTGATCCAGACAAGTATGTTGAGCGGTATTTCTCACCTGAGCTTCCCATCCACATAAGTGACAGGACAGTAGCCATTGATTTGAGGTTTCCTGTCTTTGCGGTCAGCGGCTGCAATCCTCTTGGGCAGCAGCTCTTTTGGTGGGAGTTTCATTGGGGCCAGGGGTGGCACGTACTTCTCCGGGTCTTCCAGGAACATCTTCACCTCCTTCTGGCCTGCCATCTTGTAATAGTGGCCTGATGGGACACGACTGATTGTTAGTAATGATTTGAGTTGTTAAGCTTATTTCATCACTGTCAAAAGAAAAGTGAGTAGCTCCAATGTTTTCTTCTCACTCTGTATGCACAAGGGTCATTCAATAAGTCTTTACTTTCAGAGAAGCAAGCATGAAAAATTAAGATGACACTCACAATACTACTTCTATACATAACCTACAAATTGAGAAGCTTTTGCCATTTTTGTTTGACCTTCAAAAGTCCTTGAGCATCATATGACCTTGGATGAGACTCAAACCATTTCTCCACTGCAGATACAGCATCTTCATTACTATGGAAATGCAGTCCTTTGAGAATTTTTTTTTCAGATTTGGGAAAAGGAAAGAGTCAGAGAGTTCACAGGTGGGGATGGGGGAATTTGGTAGCCACATTGCTTTGCTATCTCGGTCGCCTTCACTGCTATGTGCAAAGGAGCATTGTTGGGCAGCAGGAGAGGGTTTTTTTCATTGTTTCCCTCTTACTCATAGTCAAGAGCTACCTTCTAAAAGTCTACCAAGTCCAAATAGTACTCATATGACCTTATGCAATTGTGAGCACCGTAAAACACTTACTAAAACATACACAAAAATTGAAATCACTCACCAGAATTTTTTAAATATAACTCCACACGCAACATTTCAGAAAGATGGAAAACCCATTCCATTCAATATTAATAGTTTGACAATTCCTTCATGGTCAAGAAAAAAGACTTATTGAACGCCCCTCATACAATGAGATTGAACAATATTTCCCCTGTTTCTTGTAACTGGGGCATACATAAATCAATACAAGCTATAATTACCTCTAAACTCTGCAGCAAACTGCAGGGTGGGGTTGATGGAGCAATCCACTAACTCTCCCCATTCTGCTAGGCTCACTGGACAGTACTGACCAAAATCTCCCAGACGCTGGTCAAACTCGTTTGGAGTAATACACAGATCTGCAATGCCTGCTGCCTTAGCTGTGAAAGAGAAAGCAAATGTTGCAGTCACCTATAACTAGGGCCAAATTGTAATTGGTAGTGGTGGCAAAGGCAATTTAGAGTAAATCTGTGGTGTGTGTGTGTGTGTGTCTGTGTGTGCATGTGTGTGTGTGTGCATGTGTATGTGCATGTGCATGTGCGTGAGTTGTGTGTGAGAAAGAGGGTGTGCGTATGTGTGTCAATGTGTACGCAAGTGTGTATGTGCATGTGTTTGTAAGAGTGATTGTGTGCGTGTCTGTGTGTCTGTGTGTGTGTGTGTGTGTGTGTGTGTGTGTGTGTGTGTGTGTGTGTGTGTGTGTGTGTGTGTGTGTGAGTGTGCGAGTGTATGAGAAATTATTTGTGTATTTATTGTGTATATATAAATGCAAATTCATGTCATTGATATCACAACACAATTAATCAAATCTGACCCCATTTTACAAATTAAAAAAAATTGGATTTACAAATTTTTCTTGCAACAGTAATGATATGTTCTTTGTAGAATCTATTAATCCCCACCCCACCCTCTGGTCATATATACATAACACCATTCATCTTTCCCAGTGTGCTGTAGATAGTCCCGTATCCTATCTCTCTCATTAACCTCCATGATTCACTGCCTCATGGTACAGCAGCAACACATATTCTTTCCCTCCTTTGTCTCTGCCCTCCACCCCCCCCCCCTTCCCACACACACACACACACACACACACACACACACACACACACACACACACACACACACAAAAACAATGGTTAATTCTATACAGACCTTCCCCAGTGCGCTGCAAGTAGTCCTGTATCCTCTGCACACTGCTGGTGGCCAGCTCGTTGATCGAGTCCCACACCCACCACTTGGACTCATTAGAGGGGACCACGCGATGGTTCTGGTGGGTCTTCTTGTACCAGTCGCGGACCTCGGGCACCGTCTTGAGGTAACATGACAGTTTGATTGCCAAAATCTTGGCGCTGTCGTGAAGGGGAACAGTTCTGTGGGGGATAAAGTAAAATACAGGCCTCTTCAGTAAATGGTAATGGAACAGACAAACCTTTTTGTTTTAGAAAGTTATATGACACTAGCTACACAATTAATTCATATATGTTACGAAAATTAGAGGTGTTACAAGGGAGTTACAAACACAAAAAGCAGGAGGAGAGATAGGGGTGATCAAATGTTTGATAGGAAAAAAGGAGCAAACCACATCAGAGCACCCACCAACCACCAACAACAAAACTTTGTTGAGGTTTTATCACGGAATAAAGAAAACACAAAGTGCTGTTTGAATCATCATGTTCTCGATGATTATAAGTAAAAAAACAAACAAACAAGAACAAACACCAGCGAGCTAAAGATACAACAAAAAAATATATTACAAAGAGTTCAGCATTTTACAACAGCAACAAAGATGAATCCCATTAAAGGCAAAACTAAGAACTCTTCAAGTCAATGAATTAAGCTAACCTTGTTGGTGCAATCCTGTCCTTGACCCCTCTGACCATGACGTCCTTGCTCTCCAGCTCCAGCTCGATGACCCGGACAGGGATTATGCTCCGCTCTGTCATCAGGTCAATCTGTTTGCGGGTGATTGGGAACCCATCCAGGACGTAGCTGAAGATTTAAAACAAATAAATGTAAAGTACAGATGAAATTGTCCAAGACGGCCATCCATTGCCTAAGACAAAAGTGGTCGTTTTACACATTGTCATTACATTGTAAAATTAATGCAAGGGGGTAAATGGGAAGTGGCCATTTGAACAGGTGATTTTCTTATACAGGTGGCCATTCAAGCATGTTCAACTGCATTTTAGTGTTAGTTTAGTTTTTAGCTAAAATTTTATGGCATTTGCAACACAGTTAAGTCATATAAAGTGTCAAAGATTAGCGAGGTGTGACTAGAGACTAAGAGAGTAACATACAAAGAGAAGAAGGAGGAGAGATGAGGGAAAAAGATGTTTGATTGGAAAGACGGAGCAAACCCCACCAGAGCACCTGTCAACAACTCATGTATTTTACAAAATTGTTAAAACGATGTTCTATAAATATTGAAGGAAGCTTTTATTTTAGTTTGAGCAAAGAAAAGTATTTTGACACAATAACAGTTTTTTAGCGCTTCGGAAAATAGTAAGACAGACAGACAGAAACAACAGGGGGAAAGAAAAGAAGTAGGCACCATCCAACCATCCACATAGAAGGAAGCATAAAGTGCTCAAAATTCACTGCATACATATACATGTTCGAAGAAGCATGCAGGATTAATTCCAGAGGTGACTCTGACAATAATTACTAGATCTATGGTCATTATGACACAGATTACAATAGTCACTTGAAAAGACTAACTCTTGAAAATTAATTGCAACAGTCACTCAGATATTAATTACACTGGTCACTCACCCACGGGTCTGACAACGCATGTCCAACATGGCAATCTCCAGGGCTTGGATCTGGAGGTCATCCGGCACCACTCGGCCTCTCAGTAGGTGCCAGTTCATCTGCCGCGCCAGCTCAGACTTAGGCTGCAGAGACAGAACTTGTCGCATGGCCTCTCCGATGGACATCCGCACTACACCATAGTCTTCCACAAACCTGTTGGCCACTGGATGTTTGGAAAAGACAAAGAAAAATATATACATGGTATAGCTTGTTCATTTTGTCTGTCTGTATTTTTTTTTAAAATTTAGCGCTTTTATTAATTCATCTGTGCCAACAAAACAAACCACATGGCACTTCTGCAGGCTAGGGACCAAACAAAATATTTTATCAATAACTCTTAACCTCATCCTGCGGGAGCCGGGTTTTTGTAGCCCGATAAGCCTATTTCGGCACCTCGCCTGCGTTCTGGTCCCGAGTCAGTGTAGCTCCTGGCTCAGCGTACGCGCAGCGCGCATCCTCTTACGTGTCATTCGGGTCCCGAGTCAGATCCCCATTCACGCAGGTCAAGTGTGTGTGCGTCAGTCTGCTTGAATTTGTGTGCGTTTGTGGCCTTCTTCTAGAACCACCTGTGTTGGTTCGTAATCGAGGCATACGTCTCATTCAAAACATGCCAAGTTGATAGCTCTAGATGTTCGTCCAATGAAATTATAGAAGAAATTGACCCACTTAGACATGAGGAGCTCGAAAGGATAGTCAGGAAACAAGACTTCCATTTTTCTATACAAAATATTTCAAATGAGCTTGATTTTGCATGAAATGATACTACCTGATAAAAAATGAGCTTGTTTGATAGTTTTGAATACCCTTGTGCAGGTACAAAGAACAATTTGAGTGTAAAACATTCGGAAATTGACCTAAATTATCCCTTTTCGAACCTCAGGTCATTCATAACAATAAGAGCGTCCAGAAAGATTATTCAAATGGGCGTAACTACTCGTAATGTCTAATCAGCTTGTGAGAGGGGGTTATTCATGTGTTTGTAACACTTTATAAACAGAAAGCTATGAAGGATAGAGCGTTATTTTCATCATCAGTTAACACACCCCCGCGGTATTCATGGCGAAAACACACGTTTCCCGGCGCGCGCGCTATACACCAACAGTACACACTGAGTGACCCCGGCGGCCTGCCCGGCACGTCCAACGTAATCGGTTGCTGATAAGATACGCATCTGGGCACAGACGCAGGATAAGAGTTAATAAAAAGGTTTCTCTTTTTGGGCCCTGTACATACACAGGATCACTAAAATAAATGACTTAGGGTAACCTTGCTTACAACTTGCTCATTTTGAGACAGTGACACCATCCTGCCCCCACATTTCAGGGTTGGATTGTAGATTTCTGTAGCATCTACAAATATCTCGGTCAGAGAGCATACAAAAAAGACAGAATGATTTTCATTGTGATGGTAAAAATGGTGACTTTAACTTTCAGATATATCAGTTAGTAAATAGCTTCAAGCCGTATCACACCATAGTCTTTGACAAACCCTGTGGCTAATGAAGGCGTTATACGGAGACAAGAAGAATTATCTACACATCAATAGTAAGAATAAACTACTTAAGCTGCCAGAGGCAGGATCACTTTAGATATCATAAAATACTTAATTTAAAGCCTTGAAAACGAAGCAGGAAATATATCTTTTTTTCTCATTTACAAACACACAAAAAGAATAAAAAATCCAACAGATCATGTTCTCATACGAAACAGCACTTACACGATGTTTTGCCAGATTTGGGAGGTCCAATGATAGAAATTTTGATGGGCACGACAGGTTTGGGGCTCTCCTGTATCAAGTAGGTCATCGGATCCTGCATGAACGTCTGACGATTCTGAAGACTGCTCAGGAAGTACACATGGGAACGGTAGAAACATGGGAATGCTTGGTAACCCGGGCCACTCATCGGCTGGATGCAGTCTCCTTCCTTCAACTGTTTAGGAAAGAAAAACATTAGCATTAGTTAAGCCTATCACAAAATAAAGAAGGGTGGTTGGAGGGGGGACTGGTAGGTCCTACTTCTTTACTTTTCCTCTGTTCTTTCTGTCTGTCTTTTTTCCAGCACTAAATCAGCATTACTGAGTGGATGTGCTTCTCTATACTAAAATAAACAAGAAACAACCAAACATACTTTCAATCGGAAACCAGTAAAAGTTCAGTACATAAATGTGCAAAATAAAAAGTCATGTCATAGACCTAGATTTTTCTTTCCCACATTTTTCTTCACCTCGTCCTTCCCATCCTTCTCTCTTCTTGTGATGTAATCTTTCGACTTCATTTGAATAAAGCATATCAACCTTATTTGATGAAACGAGTGAAGAGACAACTGGTTTCTCCCAACACCACCTTAAACTTATCCTTTACAATACACTGATCTGATAAAACCATTGAAACTCAAAAATAATAATAATAATAATAATAATAATAATAATAATAATAATAATAATAATTATAATAATTACATTATATAGCGCATATTTTTATAATGCTCCACAGCTTGCTCAATGTTCTTTAAAACAATTAATACCCCCAGCAGACCTAACACACTCAACAAATTCTCAGCTCTCCAGAAAGCATTCTGTACAGTACAAAGAACCATTTTACAGGTGCTAAAACACTAACATACTTACAAAAACTATCGCTTTCTATGGCTGGGTACCCCTTTCACACCTAAATGAAGTGAGGAAATTTATGTGAAGTGCCTTTAATACGGGTGGTTGGAGTGTGCCACTGGTATGTCCTACTTCTTTTCTTTCCCTCTGTTATTGCTATCTATCTTGCTTTCTCCCTGCATTATATGACCGATATTTTGTTGAAGAGCTTCTCTTTACTCAGATTCAAAGTGCCTTTCCCCCAGGACATAACGTTCGGCCACCCTCACCTTGACTGGATCCCAACGTCCAAAGCGACTAGGCTGCTTATATCCCATCTGAAGCATGCGCTTTGCCTGCCGTTCGTTGAGTGGGTAGACCCGCTCGAAGATGCTGTGCCGGTAGTCCACGTAGGGCTTGAGCTTCTTGTTGAGAATGTAACGCACAATGTGTGGCTTGCGGCCCGCCGCGATGTCCAAGCGAGGGATGAGGACTTCCTCCAGGGTTTCCTGCAGGTAAAGAAAGACACCATTGGACACCATTGCATTGTTTGAGACAAATAGAAAACGATTGCTTGAGATTGACTGATAGGTTATAAATATTTCACACTTTCGTTGAAAAATTTAAGATCATTATGGAGACTGGCTGCTTTGACTTACACCCTGCCTGTTAGCACTAATTTGAGTTCAGTGGGATACTGCATCCAAGCAGGAAGACAGCGAGATGCTCATTAAAATATCTTCCTTCGCAGAGAGAGAACTTGCATTTTCTGCATGCAAGTGTGAAGAACCTCATCATTATATCGCAGGCATCAGGTCTAAAAAAAATTAGACAACAGAGCTCACTAGAGTTGTTTTCCAGTATCACGAAAGTATATTTACACAACGGTTGCCATCCAATACAGGAGAGAAGCAAGGAATTGTACCAAAATAAAAAAAAACGACAGGAAGGATAGATCTTCAAGCAACTCCTTCCAACCAGAGAATCTCAAGCTGAGAACCCCTCCCCTCCCCCCTCCCCCACATTTTTATCAGTGCGAGTGACAATATATATATTACTATTGAGCAAAAATTGCCCAGGAGGCTTTTTTAGATAGTGAACTATCTTTCAGTGTACTAGCTCTGGTGTAAGCTATCAAAGGCAGTATGTGACATTTGGAAGAGGAAGGCTATTCTTCTTAATGATCCTTGACTCAATATACAAGATCTAGTTTTGTCATTTTTTGGTCATTAAAACTATCTTTTCTAAACTGCACAGGCATAGCCCTCATAGGACTTAAATGATATTTATTCCTGAACGTTAAACAAAATTCAAAGTAAGTAAATGAGGAAATTATGATCTTAATTGTTTCACAACTATCGGTGTACAAAAGTAAAATTCAAATACAGTCGAACCTGTGTAAGACGGCCACCCATTGTCGAAGAGAAAAGTGGCCATATAAGACAGGTGGCCGTCTTAGGCAGGACTGATCAAGATGAAGAAAACAAACCATTCCTTTCTGAGGTCTCAATCGAAAGTAGCCGCATTGATGTTGTAGTTGTTTTTGTTGTTGTGTTGTTTTCGAAGGTTTTTTTTTTTCTTTTTAAAATTTTGTTGCTGCTTTTGTGCAAAGGTGACAATAAAACAAAATGTATCAGACATGGAGGACCGTGTAAAACAAACATAGGTGGCCACCAGTCGGAGTCGGAGAACGAGCGATGCTTCTGTCACAAGTTCATGTTGACGTCCATTGTTACCTTGTCACAGCCTGGGTAAACAGTGACCACTCATCTCACTTACAATTTGTGCATGAATTCTAGGCGGGGCTTATGGGTTATGAGGGATCACACGTTTACCTCACTAGCAGCTGAAAATTTATTACCTATTGGTCAACAGTGGGAGGGGCCTACGCAACATGATCGGTTGGAGGGACTACCTAACAACAAAGATAGGTGATTGGATTATGACGGCTCGCCCACAACGCCAGGGCCCAAAGCATGATATATGACAAAACGTAATGGAGTCACTTAGGTGGCCATCTAAGACAGGTGTTATTGTTTGGTGTGATAGGGGTTGTGTGTTAAAATATGGAGGCCACGGCCGCGTTGGACAGGAGCTCATTTTCCACGATTAAATTATATAGAAAAAACACAAGGGGGAAAATGGAAAGTGGCCGTTTGTGCAGGTGGCCATCTTATAGAGGTGGCCATCTTATAGAGGTGGCCATCAGGGCAGGTTCAAAAGTGGGACAAACCTCGACAGCTGACATCCTGTTGGTGTCGTCATCATACACTTCATTGAAGTCGTTCCTCATCCTCTCGATAGCATCCTCTTCCTGCTCCTCCTCTTCTTCTTCCTCTTCTTCTTCCTCCTAAAACGTAAGGAAAAGACCCAAAATTAAACAATTTGTTATTAAGAATACTTATAAAAAAAACAGTCTGAACATTGAAAGATCTATCTGCAGGTCTGCGACTTAGAATAAATACTCTTTAGAATCTTCATATTATGGTGAAAAGACTAATCTCTCCCTTGTCTGCCTTTCCCCTATTCCAGTTCTTTATAAAATACCCTAAAGTATCATTTCTTTTCAGCGACAAGCTATTAAGACTGAAAATGTGAAATATTGCCCAAAAACAAGGGCTGAATCTTTTTTTAAGCCTCAATTTTATTGAAAGGGCTGTTAGTAGTATGAAATCAGATCTACATCTAAAATATGATAATTGCTAATTTTATCACTATAATAAAAATAGCATAAGCTGATCATAATTGAGGAGACTGGGAAAAAAAAATTTTCTTAGGAAAAATAAGAAACCATTTCAAAGCCAGCATTTCAATTATTATCTTCCTTGGCGTAAGGCGGATTCTTACACTAAGCAACCAATATCTTATCAACTAAGTGACAGCACTCGGCACCTTTAACAAATCAGGAAATGGGAGGGTAAAAAGAGTGACACTTTGTATTGCATCTAGTCATATAAACTCACTTCAAACTCCTCATCCAAAATAGCCTCAATATCATCCTCCTCATCTTCTTCTTCCTCTTCTTCCATTTCTTCATCATTCTCAGAGTCATCTCCTTGAGCATCTCTCTCTGCCTGTAAAATAAAAGTATTTTAAAAATATTGGCGACTTGAGGGCAAATTCCAGGAAGACTGAGGACAATTCCATTTGGTGAACGATATTAATGATAACTCACGTAACAAAACCAAATTAAGAAGTACACAAACTAAGTCATAGAGCACAAATCAACAAAAATGTATTTGAATGGAATGGAAAGGACACGCCCATGCAATTAATTTTTTCTTTCGATTTTTGAAAGTTGTTCATACAAAACATGCTTACAAAAAAACTACCCGTGATATTGCGTGAGTAAAACAAGGAGTCAACTTTCAGACACTTGCTGTTTCAATGTCATGTCATTTTAGTTTTTCATGAGTGACGAGACTCAAACAAAACTAATTGTGTCACGACGTGGTGGAATCAGGCGCTCGTCAATTTTTGGGCATATGGAATTATTGGTATCACCTTAACGCCTTTCCATTTGCCTTGCTTTCAATGAAAGAAAATATCCATTTATTTTGAATACAAGTTGAGATATTGGCGATTGAAGGAGGTGTGGGTCGCCTGGTTTTAGAAGCGAAATTAGTTGGGAAATAGCCGCCAATGTTTAGTTATCTCCTTAGCCCGAAAGTCTGTGGAAACTTAAAATTTACATTTTTTATGCCTTTAATCAAAGTTTTTCAGTAAATAATCAACTGCTCTAATATGAATTATGCACGTATATATGACCCTAGGCAGTTGCGAAAATTCTTACCAAAAACAAATAATCTGTAATAGACATAGATATAGTCAATAATACATCCCCACAATATTTTACTACACAAAAAACAACAACACATTTAATTTTACCTGTCTGTTGGCACGTTGTTCCTCTCTTTCTTTGACCAGCTCCTCTCGACGTTTGGCACGGGCGGCATCCTGAGAATTATCAAAGACATTTTGTAAAACAATGCTCTTCTTCTTTTGTTCTAAGTGCACACTGAAGAAAAATTATCCAAATCCCTGTTTGATATGGTTTGATACTCTTGAAGGCACTAACATTTTCACGATATCTGTTCAATTTGATAAAATCCTCCAAAATTAAATTGATACGTTTGTTTTGTAGTTCGTAATATAGTCCATTTTAATGAAAACAGCCAATCACAAAGCTACTGTGTATCCCATGGGTCAGCACATTGCACCAATAAATTTCCAAGTTATAAATATTACATTACAGTTTGAGTAAGTGATAGGCACAAACTTAGAAATTTCTGTTTTTTTGCTTTCTCAAAACTACACAGCTCACATTGCAAACAAAGTGTCATCTGACCGTACCCTCTTCTTCTGAGCCTTCTCCTTCTTGCGAGCTTTCTTGGCCAGCCTCTTATCCCGTTTTGCTTTCCATTTGTCCAGCTTGGGTGGCAACAGACGGCCAATGACATCATCATCGGAGACCTGTAGGATGATGGCCGCGTCGGGGAAGAGACCAGCCTCCTGCAGATACTTGACCTCATCGCTTGTCCGTGGGAAGCCCTCCAGGATGAAACCAGTGGATCTGAAACATCACAAGCTTCTGGGTCAAGAACAAGGAAGAACCAAAACAAGATATACAATTCTAAGTAGGCAGTTTTTACACCCCTATCTATACAATTTAGATAATTCAAGAAGTACCGGCGTCTGTAGTATAGTAGTAAGGTGCTTTGCTGTCACACACAGGAGATCTGAGTTCAATTTCCGGGTGGAGAGAACATTTTTACTGGGTATCACAGTCTTTCTGTTGGGATGATGAATCTCTCTGTTTGCGTTGGCCCCGACTGGCAGGTGTCGGAAGCCCACCTTCTAAATGACTGCTATCATGCAAATGTACTTCTGTCTATTCAACCTTCAATACGAAGGCAAAAAATGAAGTTTAAGGTGTATGTATACAGAAAGAGAGTGTTGGAACAACTAAGTACAACAGCAAAAAATTAAAGGAAAGAAAATCTGATGAAACAAACACACAAGATTTATAAATAGCCTGAACACAAGTGCAACTTACAACATGATGATTAACAACTCATTCATATGGGCCTCGAATAAAAAAAAGAGAGGGATGAAGCACCATGACCACCACTGTCTGCTCCAAACAACACACTTGATCATGTTGATGCTAAACTAAAGCAGCTTCCTTGTCTGAACGCAAAGGTCACTCACTTGAAAGGCTCCTTGTTCCACCACTGAGCCATGATGTTGTCCAGCAGCTCTGGGGGCAAGGGGTCATTGCTCTCTAGGTTGGCCTTGATGGCTTCTTCATCCTCGGTCAGCTCTGGTTCCTCGTCTTCCTGAGAACAGGGCACACACAAAAAAAAAACATGAAAAAAAAGATTAATGCAATCATTTCACTCTTTCCATGCTAGGGAGGTTTCCACTGTTAAGGTGTTAGGAAGGGCCAGCCTTGGTATGTATTATAATAAATATAAGTAAAGTGAATATCTTTAATAATTGTTTTATATTCAGTGAAGTCTGCTTAAACTGAATATGTTCAATGCAACATAAAAAAAACCCCAGCAGTGAAACAAGATGAAATAAAATCCTCCATTTTTTCCCTTTTATTTCAGCAATCTTTCTAAACTGAAAACTAAACTGAAAAAAATTTGGCGGCCCCAAGGATTTCCGTTCAAGTGAACTCCATTGTATATCCTACAGGCCTATAAAAAAGAATACAAAGGAATACAGTACAGGAAGACGGTGTCAGATAAAAATAACAAAACAGATTGAGTCTATCCAGCAACGGAAATGTTTTTTTTCAGAGGAGACAATGCTGTATGCGTATTTTGTAAGAAAAAAAAGTTGAGATTCACTGATCATCAATTATCGCTGCGGCAAGAAAAATGAGTAACCATTCGACCCTGCTTTACAGAGTGAGTTCAAAAGACATGGTAGTTATTCATTTTTCTTATGAACAGTGACATCATTGACCACTCAGTTTATAAGACTCCGTCATACATCACTTTTCTCAATAGCATATGGCAGAATCTTACACTAAGCAGTCAAAAAGAGGGGCTGAGATGCAAAACCCGCTATAACATCCATTTTAGCACTTTTGAGAAAATCAGCTTTTTTTAATGCTGCTATACGCATAAACAGGCAAGAAAAGAAGACTTTTGTAGCGGGTTTTAAGAAGTGTGTGTTGAGTTTAGGCCGAAAACACTCTGTGCATCTGATAGCTGGTAACAATATGCATTTATAAGCAAAAAAATCTCGATTTTTTTTCAAAATGTCGCTTAGCGGGTTTTGCATCTCACCCCCTCAAATGTTTTATGCCCCTACTGACACAACTCAGATGAATGAGGAGGCAGGCGACACAATAAATCCCATGTAGCACAGGGGAAAAGCAAGATGAGCAGAAAGAAACAACAAAAGGGAGAGAAACGAAGTAAGGCCTACTAGTGGCACCCTCCTATCACCCACAAAAAAAATCTCACACAATCTGGGTCATTTGAGTGATGTCTGTCTTTTCAAACAGTTGTCAACTTGTAGTAAAAGTGGTACAGTAGGCCTACAATTATATTAGTGTGCTGGTATCTTAATCTATATGACAAGAACAATTCTAGTACTTTCTTGGAAACAGTGATTAGTACGCCAACAATCCTGACAATTCCCAAGAGGCATCATTCAAAGTGTAATCTTATTCATTCAAAAAATATATCACTTACCTCCTCTGGGATTGTAGCTTCCGGCTTTGTTGAAAACAAGAACAAGAATAAAAACCAAAATATTAGAAAAAGCAAATTTGAAAAGCAGTAAACAACACAATAAACAGCAAGGCAAGAAATATCAAAACAACATTATTCAAAGAGGAAGAACTATTGAAGAAATTGTATAAACAGTAAAATTGAATAAAGCCATCACAGCCTCAAGTTAAACTAAGGCAGAACAACAACAAAAATGATGTTTTTAAAAATTACATTGTTTCTAAAAAAGCAAGTTGGTACTGGTGCAAGAAGCTTGTGAACCTAACTGAACTGTCTTTCTGAAAAACAGACCATCCCCCACCCCCTCGCCCCATCTTTTCCATTGATGATTACAAGCAAAAAATGAAAGTCCAAGATAAATATTTGCCAGCATCACAATGTTACAAACCGGATACCCCCCCCCCCAACTAACTTAATCAATGAGGCATACTGACAAAAAATGTTGTAAGTGAGTCTGAAAAAAAGGGGGTGGAAGGTTTAAGGGGGACACCACCAACCGGTTGAACAAAGAACCCCAAAACAAATTCATTTATCAATGATTCCCAAAGAAAAAAACAAAAAACCCAGTGAGTTGGAGGGATACAAAGCATATATATATATGGGGATGAGGTAGGGATGGTGGAGGAGGGGTGGGGGGGCTAATAAAAGTATTCAAGAGCCTGACCCTATGTGTCTGAGTTTCATCTCCCTCACCTGTTTCAAATCGGAACCCGACTGCGTGGCAGTCCCCTCTGTGGTGGACTCAGTTGTTCCCTCTCCACTCTCTTTCCCCTCTCCATCCTCCTCCTCATCAGACCTGAGAAGGTAATGAGGAAACCAGTGTAAGTAGATATATATATATATCCCAAACACATTCAGTCAGAGAGACTGTCTCCTGGCTACACTTTTTAAAAATCTCTACGATAAGATGGGCTTAGACAGGATAGGATGGAAAATCACCTTTAAAATGCCAATAAGACAAGAGAAGAAAGAAAATTTATCTCTAAAAGACTAAATAAGGCAAGATAGGAAAAGGATAAAGATGAAAACAACACAACAGGATGACATAAGCAGAAAACGGATAGAATAAGGGGAAGTACACTACATAAGACAAGAGCATGATACAATCAACACAAAAAAACATACAAGACAAAAAAGGATAGACAAAATGATAAAACAAAATGACAAAGGATGATAAGAAGCAAAACGAAGTGAATTATTTCTAAAACCTTAGTACAAATGGAATAGGGGCATAGGAGGTCGGAGTACTCCCACATTTTCATTTTAAAAAACCCCAAAAAGCTTGCAGAGGCATGCAAGTAAACAACATTATTAAACTGTACCCTGCAAAAGAGAAAACACTGACAGAGAACAGGTATCTATATAGTCCAGACAACATATACTAACAGATTCAGTTACAGCCCTATATATTATGATAACACGGAAAAGTCCTTTGCTTTATAGAGGACAGAAACATCACAATTGATAAAGGAATCAGATGAAATTACATAAGCAGATTAAGTCACACAAAAACCACATAAGATATCAGCTCACTCTTTGTTTGAAACAACAAAAAAGAATTAATTTTAAAGGGAGATCATATTTTTTTATTTTCTACTTGTAAATAGGCCAAAAAATCTAGAATAGAACTTTTAAAAACTATCACCACAATGATGGCCATGGTTTTCAAAATTGCTGCTGTTGATATTACTAAAAGAGATGTTGTTGCAGTTAATACTTTACATCATTAATCTATTTTGTTACTTTCTTACTCTTGTTAACTCTGCTGTAATGATCTTGATATTAATTTTTTTAAATTTGATAATCCCAGAAGTTGCAAAGAACCTTACTTCTTAACCTCAGTTGATTTAAATAACCACTCCATTAACAAGTGTATTCTTTAGCACCAAAAGATAGCGCTGTTGTTTTCCATCAATCATCATTAACTCTGGATACCACTTTATGTACAATATCTTACCAGTTTCCAATTTCTGTCATAATTTCCAGTTCAAGAGCTTTCGACGCTGAGTCACTTTCTTCAGAATCAGTGTCCTCTTCTGATTCACCTTCTTCATCTTCTTCCTTTATATTCTTAAGCCTTATTTTCTCTGCATCTGGCTGATTTGAACTTCGGATTCCAGAAACGCCCCCATCATCTTCCTCTCTGCATGACGTTTAAGCAAAATTGAGAGGGCACCTGTCTCTGCACATGCCTCTCTCGCTGTCTCTCTCTCTTTCTCTCAGAAAAATGTTCATATGACGACAAACTCCAAACTATGACCAATAAGCTAAAACGAGAACATTCAATGAATTTCTCGTTTAAGAAAACTCAAAAGAGAAATCAAACGGAAGCTAAACGTTCCAGAGAAATGAAAATTCCCAAAACTCAAATGACTTTGCCATGCATTGTCACATGAACCTTTAATATTAATGATAATAAACCACAACGGTGACATAAGTCAGATTTAAGCCCAAATTCAAACTGACCTACCAAGATATTTCATATACATTGGTCCGCATGTCACCTTGCATAATGGTGTAAATGCCTAAAAAAGTGTCCACCTTATAAGAAAGCAAACCTTATGATTCCAGAAAAGACAACGATCAAAAAGTCTTTTTTTATTTGACTGAAAACTAGAATATACATGGCACTTTGCCACTATTAAGGTTTTTTAAAGGATAAATAATGTTTACAGGTATTACAGAATGTAGTATGTGGCCTTTTACATTGTAGTAATTGTTTTTTTCTTTTTTACCAAGTGATTTCTTTTGAATTTATACCCTAAGGTAGATGGTCTGCGAACCAAGGAAACAAAATTTGGAAGGAACAACAAATATAAAATTTCCCAAAGATCCAGTTTGAGTTCGAGCCAAATTGAAGGTTTTTTTTTTTTCAAACCCCACAATTACAAACTTCCAAAAAAGAAAAAACATGAAACTAGGATTAAGCTTTTCTCCTAGAAACAAACACAAAATCGAAATCAAAACAAATTCTTAAAACTGAACAGGGCAAAAATCCAAGCCGATCAATGTCTCCTTTCTCCTGTCTCTGGAAAATAAACTGATAATTGATGCATTTGTCAGTCTGAATACCGTTGTTTCTGAGTTCTTTCACACCCCAAACGTATTTTTCAGCTGCTCTTTGTACACACTCCCATTAGTGTTCCCCACTAAATATCTTTTTTCAGAAATAGAATTTAAACAAAAATTAACTGGGAATTCACATTTTGTGATCAATGTAAAACAGTCCAAATTCAGTATAGAGTAACCAAAGTGCATATTATAGTTTAGTTGTTATTTTTAAGTAATCCCATTGGCCTAGTCAACCGGAATGACTACGTTATCATGAATGTCGGATAAGATAGGATTCTTCAGAGCCTGACAGGCAGTTAGGTGCTTTCCTGTTGCACACAGAAGACCCGAGTTTGATTCCCATGAGGGGAGAATTTTTATAGAGTACTTTGGTATTTCAACTAGGATGTTGTATCCCTCTCAGTCTGAGTTGGGCTTAACAGGCAGGGTTAAATCCTGCATCCTAAATGATCTAAATCAAAACCAGACAATGTGGGAGGTTGGAGGGTCCCCAGGTGTGGTCTGCTCCTTCTTTCCTATCAAACATCTATCATCCTTATCTCTCCTTCTTTTTTGTGTTTGTTATTCCCTCATAACATCTCTAATCTTCGGCACTGATAAGACCTTATTGTGTTGCAAGTGCCGTAAAACACTTACAGAAACGAACCAGACAATGGTTGTGAAGGAGGGAAACTAACAGGCTATGTGTGTATGAGCAACCCAACACAGCCCTTAGTTACATCAGAACTACACTTCTCCCTCCGAGAAGGAAGAGAGCAAAGCTGTTGCTGGATTGATAACAACAACACAAAACAACAACAACAGAAACAATAACAACAACATGACTAACACAACTGCTACAGACACAGCCACAAACAGATAATGGAAAGTTTCAACCCTGAAGACTAGACCACACTCTATATTGTGCTCTACCGCCACCCTTTTGAACACAGAACAAACCACAACGCATGACGGGGCAAATTTGTACGTTGACCCTTGGGAGCTTTTAAGTGTTCTGGTTTTATCACGCTTTGGGAACCACAACACAAGTTTTAAAAAGATCCAAATTACTTAAGAACTTGGAAGGAAAAGAGCAGTAATATGAGGGGAAAGCATCCTTGAATGAGAGTATAAGGATTAGACACTTAACTCATTCGCTACGTATTATTTTCGGCTTGTGGAAGAATTTTTTTCGGGAGGGCGATATGAGATGATGACTAGTGCGCAGTTCACAGGTCTTGGGGGCCATAAATTCAAATAAATATCAACATATTATATACCAACATTTTCAGTATAGTTTGTAGAATACATCTGTATTGTTTATTTGAGTATTTTTCAACTTGGGTTCCTGTAAGAGGCGATTATGCAACACAATTGTGATTGGCAGCGGATAAAATTTGAAAACAAAAATTTTATAATCTCAGATGAAACTCAAAAAATATGTTTGCACCTAGTCAAATTATACATTAAAATAACCATAACTGTATATAGAACAGGAAAGTATTGAAAAATGAGCAGTTATTTATATACATTCCATAATATTTGTACACTTGGATCATAACCTCCGATATTGAAAAAAAAAATTTTTTTAAAATAATTTTGAAAAAAGGATCCCAAACAGAAAAAAACACTCGTATCTTATATGGAATTATTCAGAATTGCATTTGGAATAAACCTATACATGTCTTGGGAGGTACTTTTTGAGAAAAAGTAGTGATTTTGGGGAGAAAAAAAATATTTTGACTATTTAGATCTAGAAATCTAGGCTTAGATCTAGAATCTAGCACTCAAAAATATTGATTTCTCAATTACAGTGCACTGGCAATTTGAGTCCAGTAGTATCAATATTATAAATAAGAGTCCTACACTTCTTTAGTGAGCAAAATAATGATACATTTTGTTGTGTAAAAGTACTAAGACTGGTGTCTGGGCTATAATTTGGGTTTCGCGATAAAACAATGTCGCATAAACTTCGAAATCGTGTTTCAAAACTGAATCAAAACTTTCGATTTTCGGTGGAAACGCTTGACCCGGAAGTCAACTTTATATTATGACCTTTATTTTAACATGGATATGTGGATTGGAATAGAAACCAAGCTAAAATTGAACGTCGGTTCTCGAGCCACCGGGGGCGGCTTAGCGTACTGACGGCACTTTAGCCGCGCCGCCCCCCACGGCTCGGCGTAGCGAATGAGTTAAAAAACAATCCTCCTACAAGACTGGCATCGTACTAAATAAATAAATGAATAAATGAATAAATAAATGATTGAGAGAATGAATGAATGAATGAAAGAATGAATGAATGAATGACTGAATGAATGAATTCCACACTTGTTGATCCCTGTGTTGTCTATATTGTAGACTAGTTGGGCCCCCTTTCGATGAAAGGAATGATCGGTGCATTAACATCAACTGAAAGTCATTGGCCTACTACATTTACACTCAAATGAAATGGAGCAAAAAATCTTGAGAGAAAAGTGGCACACATGTTTCCAAGTTGCCAAATATATAATAGATGTATAGATTGATTCTCTCTTCTGCTTTCGGGGTTGTACACTCCAGAATTCCAAAGGGGTGGAACAGTGCGCACGGATAGTGAATGGAAACCTCACTTGCTTACAATGGTGTCTTAGAAGACAGACTTTCCCAAGATTCTGTGAGAAGACATTTTGGAAAAATCAGGGAAAGCAGTTCGCGTGGATCTTTAAAAGTTAGGTCTTAGCCACGTGGATGCTGTGGACGCCTGCAATGTTTCAACAGTGTGGGTTAGGTAATAAGGGAGCACGGCTGTTCAGTTCTACTATCCTTGCGGAGCACTTAGTTTGACCCGTCCGCTGACCTCCCGGGGTCATAAATCCCACCTGACAGCCGGGCCACGCATCGCTTCCTGGGCGATAGCGCTGTTAGCCGATTTTGAGTAGAAGTCTATAATTTTCACTTGATTTAGACCCCTGTAAATGTCCTCTCTTATCTATCACTATGGGAGTGTGAGGTATCAAATGAAAGCCCAGACTCTCCCAAATAACCCGCTTCCTTTACTTTGGTTCTAGTTCTAACCGTGATCACACACTGCCTCTGTACTTAACCCTACCTTGTGCTGCACGTATTTCTCGGATTGCTACAAAGATCAGGACTTTTTTCCATTCGTGAAACGCAGATTGTCATCATTTTTGTGTCTGCCGTATCAAGAGTCAGTCAGGAATTTACTTGTGAAAAAAAATTGTTTAGATTCACTGGAAAACTTTAACAGGGCGGCGAGTTTTGTTACTTCACCCTGTAATATTTTCCCGGCCGCCGTACTGCCCCGCGCGGTATTCACCTGAGGTCCCGCTTTCACTTTCCCCGATTCTTTATCGACAAGTGTTAGGAGAGTCTGCTACAAGAGGGAAAATGGAACACTCCGGGAACTACGTCTTGCGGGTTTAAAAAAACAACCCCTGTGTAGAAGTAGAACATGCGGGGCCAGAAGTAAAAAAGTGAAGAAGGCAAACCAGAGCACATATTTTTGTGTAAGTTTAAAAAATGACTTCCTCGTATTCTATATATGGCGTAAACGTGGACACAGATAGTGCAGACACACATTCCTGTGAAATGTGCAACAATTTAATGTGTACAGAGCTTAGATCTATACCGCTCAAGGGAACACGTTCGAGAAGCAACTCTGCTGCGCAAAAAAGTATTGAAGAAAGTTAACACAGCTGGAGACCTCACCATAGCCGATCTCTGATAGGAAACCATTGTCACCAATTCTTGAAGCGCCCAGTGTACACAAACATCACAAAACACATTTGCTCACACACAGCAGCTCTTACATCTAACCAAAACATCATAGATGCAGCCCACGCAAGCAGACAAATCTGATTTATTAAACAACAGCTATGCTGAAGTACACCACCTCATCTCTTACACATAAAATACAAGAAACTGAGTTTGACATTATATTATAAAGAACAGCAGTTTGTGCATGTTTGAAGCTATACAGATGACTATCTCCAAACACAGTCACACCCAAACAACTCATATTAGAGCACCACTGTCTGCCTTCTATTTAAGGACATGGATTTGGCCTGGGTTTAATGGGCGAACAGGGTGGCGAACTTATTCACTCCAGCATCGAAAAACTGGAGAAGAGGACAGTGGGAATTAAAGAAATGGAAACAGTTGAAAGCTGTTACTGAAGCTCACAGACCGCAAAATGCGTCCACTCTTAGTCAGCAATTTTGAAAGGAAATAAAGAGGAAGACAACTTGCCTGCGACACTTTTGCAATTATTGATATAAGTACATGTATTCATATGTTATGTGTTTGTGAATGTAGTGTAAGCAGCTCTATCTGTGAGGAGACAAAGAGGAAACTCTTGTTTCATGGAACTAGATAGCAGTGAACCTTCTACTTCTACAAGTTCCATATTTGTGAAAACAGTGAGGAAACAACGAAAAATCTCTCATTTAATTAATTGGACAGCAGTAAATCTTCTACAATTTCCCCATTTCTGAATGAATCAAACCAAAAGTAAGTGTTTCTGAAAGCTCACCATGTCACTGATGTATACCACTGATTATTTTAGAGATCTGGTGTTCACGTTTTAAAATATCATAAATTTAAAAAGTAGATCTATGAAACAATTTTCCCCATAGATGCCCTCAATTGCACCCATGTTTTAAAAGGTACCCTGTAAAGAATACTAATAAAAAGTTATTAGCTGTACAGTCCAAGAATGCCTCTATCTGTTGATAGTAATTTCACGTTGATTTGTTGATGGGAAAAGCCACAATGAAGCAATTAAACTGTATAAAAAGTGTTTAGTCACAACAGTTCACCCGTAGAGAAAAGGTCAAAGTGACCTCCATGACCACCCGGGCGCGGCATGGTTGACCGGGTCAACTCCTCAGGTAACTAAGTGCTCCGCTCGGGAACAGCCGTGGGAGGAGTTCGTGCACAAAGCCTCCCAAGTCCACTTTTATATATATAGATAACCGCCATAACACTTTGAGTTTTTTTACTCACTCTTCTTCATCATCAGGCTCCTCTTCCTCTTCCTCTTCAAACTCGGGGCCGATCTTTTTCTTGGTTTTGGCAATGATGAGCTCCTGGAGCCTCTCCCTGAAGGAGATGTGGAAGATGCCCATCTTCTCCGCCAGGTGCCGGCCGTGCAGCGACTTGCCAGCCCCACGAGCTCCCAGGATGAGCAGACGGATGGGAGGCGGCTGCAACACAGTCAACACTGGTTGTTGTATGCGTGCAACTTGTGATTAGACCAAGTGTCCAATAATGATATCGGCAGCAGCAATGATCACAACAACAGTAGCAAAAACATCACCAACTACAGCTGCCACCACAATCTGTGGAGCAGTAACAACAACAACAAAACCAACAACAACTACCAATATATTAACCACAAGAACAACCACTTTCACAACCTGTAAAGTGCTAATGACAACAACAACAACAACAACAACAACAACAAAAACAAGAGCAGCAACGACAACCACCACAACCACTAGTTATAGACTGTTTACAACAACAACAACAACCATCATCATCATCACTGCAACAACAACAACAACCCAAGGGAGGCGGAGGCCCTGGCGAAGGGTACGCTCTTCGGGTCTCAAAACATTTACCACACACACACACAACAACAACAACCATCACCACTACAACAACAACAACAATAACAGCAACAACTATCACCATCACCACTACAACAACAACAACAACCATCGGCATTACAACAACAACAACAACAACAACAACAACCACAAACAACAGCAAAGTTGTCAGCATTGTCTTCACCTTGAGCGGACTGTCTTTGGTGAGGTACTGCGCGGGGTCCTCCAAGAACTTCTCTCTGGTCTCATTGGTGGAGAAGTAGTAGACCTTCTCTCTGTACACAGCCGCCACCTCCGGGTTCCCAGGGTTCAGGATGTCCTGTTCTTTCAGGGCCACCGGGTCGAAGTAGTTGCTGTCACCCAGGAACTTCTTCTTGATGCTTCTGTTTGGGTCTTCCTCCTGACAAAGGCATGCGTATATTATGTTGATTTTCTTACTATGTTCTTGCTTCTCTCTCTCTCTCTCTCTCTCTCTTTCTCTCTCTCTCTCTTT